TCCCTCTGTGACTTTTGGTACTGAGGATAAAGTAAAAGCAGTTTTTCTTTCTTTAAGAGATGTGAAAGGATGGAAAATATGAAACGATAGAGCAGGACAGTGGATGCAATTAGATGTGAGATGGAAATAGGGCAGGAAAGGCAGAGCTGGGCTGAAATGAAAGAGTACTTGTATGTGTGGGATGTCAGAGGACGCTGGCCTGAAGCTCTTTAGAGACTTGAGATGTTGTTGGAGCATCAGAGGAGGGTTGTAAGGAGACACTTGAAACGAAAACATGAAACGGGAATACTACAGGAATGTTACTGTTCACATCAACTTAAATATATTAAGGTATTCAAACATGTGGATAAAGTATAACAAGTCTGTGTGGCATCTGTTCATGTACTGTAGAACCTTGGACACCTCGTGTAGTGCTCTTGATTGGTTTAGCATGAAGGCGTCACTGTGCGATAACAGTGATAGCCCAAGTGTTTAATAAGGCTTTTGATCTCACCATAAACTTCACCTGTCGCCACCTTTTATCTCGTCTGCTGTAGACCTTTACATCTTGTGGTCCTGCGGAATGCCGGAGCTTCTGGCCCCCAACAGAGGCCCAGTGTTTATCACATCTCTGTCATCGAAGGGAGAGAGAAAGAGAGAGCAGGAGAAGGAGGAGGGGTTTGGTGGGGGCTGCTCAACTGCGACAGCAACTCCGCGGTGGTTTTAGCCTGTGAGTCATCGCTAGAGGGTTTAACTCTTCCGATGCCAAGTTGAGAACGTGCAGCGATGTTGTTTTTCATGACCAAAGTTGCTTTTTTTAGAACCTCTCGTTACAAAGAGGGATTTGGCGTTGGCACGTTTAGTTTTACATCTCATAAAACTGGCACCTAAGAGTTGGTTTCACTTCAGTCAAATCAGCTCTCCTGTACATGCAAAGTTAACATTTTCATTGTTTCCACAGCTGAATCTAACAAACGGCTTTATTTCTTTTTGTTTTTCCCAAGCAGCAGCTCCAAACATCCTTCCTGTCAGTATCTTCTACACAGCGCTGCTGTGCAACAGACAGCGTCCAAGGCTATTTTTAAACGCAGCTATTAGTATGCCATATCATAAACCTGAATCATTTATATGGATTTTTAGGGCCGGTTATTGCGTGTGCTGTGTGATGACGCGGTGGTCAGGTGTTGCCTCATATAACCAGGGGAGCTGTCCGAGTGCTGAAAACAGAAGAGAACAGCACCGCTACTGAGGAGATGTCATACACCCTTACTGCTGTCTGAGCTTTACTGCCAAAGGTAAACCACGATTTCTTTTTTATTTATTTGATTCAGTTTTTTTATTCTGATTCGCATCTAGACGGGTAAAATTGAAAGACAGTCTTTTTTCTATTTTTTAAATCACAGCTTCTCGCAGATTTCGACACGTTCCGTTAGAACGAATGAAATAGAAAGAAAACTATATCCTTCTACAGTCGGGCATTACAGTGAGTTGTAGTAACGGAGGATTGTTTTTAGTTAATGTGGATGCTGACGGGAGGAAATCAGATTTTTTTAAGACGTCAATAACCAGACGGGGAGTGACTCATCCAGCGATGTGAATGTTTCTCCACACGCACACCGACACATCGTTCAGTTTGCGAAGCGTAACTCCCCGACAGGCGCACAAACCCCAGATCAAAACAGAATTGTTTACGATCGTGCTCGTTGCTTCCTGATAAGCTTTTAGTTAAGATAACCGAAGAGAGGGAAATAATCTATGATCTTTTCCCCCTCCCAGCTGCTTCACCATCATTGTCCTCTCTCTTGTTTTCCAGGTAATAATTTGCCTATAATGCTGCATTTTCACCACAAGTTGCCCGCGGGGGGAGCCGTGGTCCTGCTCGCCTTCCTCCTTCATGGATGCGCCGTGCAGGCTGCGTCTCTCCCCCGTCACTACAGGCTCCGAGGAGGGGAGAGTGAGGGGCAGCCGGCTGCGTATCCACCCAGCGCCGACATGATGAAAGCCCTGGAGTACATTGAAAACCTGAAGCAGCAACGAAACGGGGGCCAGCCTGAACCCGTGGATTACGACGAAGTGGAGAAGTTCAGGGTCCTGCTTCAGCTCGCCTCGCAGCAGGACGAAGGTCCCGGGGATCACCAGCCTTCCCAGGGCATGCAGAGGCAGGACATTACCGCTGAGCAGCTGATGAAAGCTCTGCTCAGGTCCCTCCAGGATCAGACCGGGAAGGACGCAAAGCTTAGCCCCCCAACGCCGCCGAGAAATGACCGCCGAGCTCACAGGCACCGCACCAAAGATACTGAAATGCCTGAGGGCGCACCAGTAGATTACGGTAACTTCCCCAGACCCCACAAGAAGTACCCACTGATGTTTGAGGACGAGGAAAATACTGACGCTTCCAAGCGGGCCACCGAGGACCTGGATGAGCAGTACACACCCCAGAGCCTCGCCAATTTGCGGTCCATCTTTGATGAGCTCGGGAGGATGCCCACAATCGGTGGGCAGAAGAGAGACGGGGACGACGGGGAGGAAGAAGAGGACCGACTCAGCCTGAGAAACCAGGCCTATGAGGATGTGGCCGGAGGCGAGGAGTGGGTCCCCATGGAGGAGAGGGAAGAGGCGGAGGAGATGGTCAACGGGAGCCATGAAGAAATGGACAGGGCGCTCAGTGACCAGGAGGAATCACAGAGGGAGGAGATGCAACGCCGGGCCAGCCAGAACCAAGAGGAGGCTGATGATGACACTAAGCTCGTAGATTACTACCTGCTGAAAGTCCTGGAGATGAGTGACCAGACGCAGAAGAGGGATAGGACCGGTGAGCAGAAAAAGAGACTGATCCGTCCCTCTATCGTGGATCCTCGGACCGTGAAGGAGTTGCTGGAGCTTTCCCTGAAGCTGCACGTCCCTCCACAAGACCTTATCGATATGCTGCTCACCGAGGAGCTCCGAAAGCTCCACCGCGATCCACAAGCCGCGGCTCGTTACACGAATGCTGGCCAAACCCCCAAGATAAGGTACTTCAGCCGCAGACTGCCGCTGAAAAGCAAGACTATCCCTGATGATATGGACAGAGAGGACTTTTTAGACATCATCGGGGTAGAGACAATCAGTAACGAGTACCCCGTGGTGCAGAGACCCATGAAGACCTCTCAGCCCTCAGACAGAATGCCTGCTGCGTCCAACCCTGCTGCAAATTCAGGTCCAGTTAAAATCCCCCCTCCCTCCGGACGTAGGGAGAACCTGTTTCTCTCCGAGCTCAACAAAATGCCCCTGAAGCGTGAGGCTGACAGTGACGACGACGACGGCGGTGATGTGGAAGACGAGGTGACAACATACCTGGCGGCAAAAATTCTCACAGAGTACCCCAACACCATCACCAAGCGGGACACCCAGGCGCAGCTGAAGGCGCAGTTCCCGTACGAGCTGTACGAGCGCGCAATGGACTACTTGGGGCAAGTGGACAATGAGAAAAGGCCACTAGTCAAGAGGGAAACCGAGGAGGCCACAGAGGAGAACGTAAAGCCCACAGAAATGCAGGGGAAAGAAAAGATAACGGCTAAAACCTCGGCCCCTCAAACCGTAAACGAAGAGGAGCAGCACCGTGAAAAAACAGTGGCCGGGATGTAGCCAGATGTCCTGCCAGACGCACGAAATTATGAATTTAGTATATATACTGTCTGAAAAATAAAGTTTGGTGGACGTGATCTAGTTTACAAATTTCTATTATATGAACTATAGCCGGTATGACTAATATCTCCCTAACGAAAATGAACTACAGCACTCTTACAAATCAAAAAAAAAATAGTCCCTACTTGCTGCAAGAACCTTATATTATTATTAATATATAGTTATACAAGAGATTTTAGGTTCCTCCCTTAGGTTGCGAACCTCTTACCAATCTCAAATTGCCAGTTAATAAAGAAAAAGAAAAAAAGAATAAATTTAACAACCAAACCCAAGTTATTAAAGATTTGTGATGTTGTTGAAGGTTTGTTTACATTAAATGTGTTTGTAAACAGCACTATATTTTCAACTGTAATCAAATGAGTAACGGTGAAGATGCTTATTTTTCATCCATGTCAAAACTATTCAATTACATATGTGAATATTCATGTAAATTATTCAGTATGATGCTGACCGGGAATTTAAAAACACAAGTACACGGCGTATTTGGAGTACTATTGGAATATTATAGGAATTTTTCATTAGGGCAGTGTGCTGGCCTCAGAGCGAGTGTTGTTGTGACTCGTGATATATTCAGGGTTAGTGGATTTAATGTTGTTATTACAGATAATTATTTCCAAGTCTCAATATCAGAACGTCGCCTGCCTTCCAGCCCCTTTCATACTGCGAAGCTCTGTATTGTTGGCCTAACAGTGATTGTGCTATGTATGCTCATTTTTAAACCATTTTTGTACATGTTCAACAATGTGTGATCAATCACAGATGAATAAAGCATCAGCGGTATTATTTTTCCTCTTTCTGAGTTGTGTTGCCTTATTAAACAAATATAAATGTTGCATATAAAAGGAAGCCAAAGCAGCATGTGCATTATTTTGGGGGGGGCGGGGATGGCGGGATACAGCGACATACATATGAGTATTCATTCAAATTAAACATTCTGCACCAAGATAACAAGTCACTACTCAAAGCAAATTGCTTATCAAAAACATTTTATTTGTAACATCAGAAAATGCACATCAAATGTATACATTTAAAAAAAAGAAAAAGCAATCACACCCACACTAGCATAGCAAGTGCCCTTTCTAAAAGACTAACAGTCAAACACACGTTGTATGTCTTGCACATTAAAAACAGCAGGTAATCATTGGTATCAGTGTTATATCAAAACGAGTTCTGTGCTGTAAGTAACTCCGTAAGTTGCTGAGTGATTGGCACACACACAAAAAATATATATATCAATCAGAGACTTCTCAGACAGACTCCAAACATTAATTTCTGACATATTAATACATGATAAATACAGGAAATTTGGAAATCGGAACATCACTTCCTGATCATGATTTTTTTTCCTTTAAATACCCACCATCTTGTTATTACTTCAAATTTAATAACTGCAATTGACATCGAAAAACCCCTCCCAACCCATATCCTCCACACAGAAACGCACCCATACAAACTCTCCTTTCACTTGAATGCATTACTGTTAATGTATATTAGAGTCGCCACAAAAGACATGATGCACAAAGCTATGATTTAGGCAGACATTCAAGTAAAGCCAGATTTTTCTCTTCTGAAAACGTTCAGTAGAATCGAAGTTCGCTCGATTTTCAGGTTCAGAAAAGTATGTGACTGCTATATAGCACATCTTGCTCCCGTCTTCTTCTTTGCTGTTAGTTCATGTCCTTTTGTCCCCCACCCCCACAAGCTAAAATGCAGGTTTGCTCATGTACTCCTCCAATGTCTAAGGAAAAAAAATAGAAAAGAAAGCACAAGGGATGAAAAAAAAAACCAATCAGGTTCCCAGACTCCAAAAAGTGCAGTGTAATACAAAATCATAACCACAGTCACACATCTACACATCACCTGTTACAAAGTGCTGAGCACAGCAATGCACTAACATAAGCGGAACATCTAACCTTTCTGTCCATATTCAAGGTCATCCAAACAGCTCCACCTCATACCACTCACTGATGTCATCCTGAAGCGATAATGGTCAAAATGAATGGGAGACTAAACTGCATCACTCTAGATAAAAAGTGTTAATCACCCTGACTCAGGAGCACCGAACAACACACCCAGCTACGCACAGAGCCACGAGCCTACAGGGAGAGCAGGAAGCATCAGCCAAACGCTAACATTTAAAGAAAATCTGTCTCACGCTAACACCCAGACAGAGAGAGAGAGACATAAGGGGTAAGAAAAACAGCAAAACACAGACCTATAAAACAAAGAGGGAGCAGCCACTACTATCCACATGCCTTTTAGTTATGAGGAAGACAAAGGCACAACAGGGATCACCACATTTGATTGGATTCTACAATGCACCGACTACTTCGCACGCACACACACATCACGTTCCCATGTCAGAGCCTCACACAATACTCGTGTTGCTTAAAGTAAACAGTAAGCACTAATTTCAGGTATCTGGGCCTTTCAAAATACCCCACAACCATGATTTAAATAAATAAACAAACTTTGGAATACATTTGAAAACATGGCAACATTGCTTTAAAAGGAGACACTACAAGTGAAGTCTGTTAAATACAATGTATCACCATTAACCTTCTCCTGTTGAGCACTTACATTAAGTATAGTTTTTTGGTATTGCAACTTTTTAACTGAACACTGAAGAGAGCTGATACAGATTTATTCCAGCCTGTCATTCTGTAAGGTTCGCTGTATGTAAGTGCTACTGGAATGGGGATTTCTGAGGAAAACAGCATTTCAGTGTCTGTTTTACTAATAAGAATTAACCAACAGATAAACCGTGAAACTTCCTGAAACTTCCTTAAACATGCACTAATTTGCACAGTGGACAAAATGCATATTTAAGACATTTTATTTACATTAGTCTGAACAAAATAATAATAATAATAATAATAATAATAAAAAAAATCCAAATAGGCCAGAATCTCAAAAATCAACCAGTGCATGAAGAAAACACGCCTATGCCTGCAGTGTCTCGCTTTATACACTGAGCCACGCAACAGATGTTACGTGCTCACACCACAGGTGCAAGTCACAGTGTTTTACTAAGTGCATTTGTGCGTGCATATCAGTGAATCTCACCTCCTGTAACATGTCTGAGGCTTCAATGGAGCGATTCACAATCTGTTTAGAGGTTTCCTGGATCTCGCCTCCCATTAGAAACTCATCCAGGATAAAATAGGCCTTCTCAAAGTTAAAGATAATGTCCAGCTCACACACCTGAGAGGATGATGCAGTTATTAAATTAGAGAAACTACAGAGCAGAACATATTCTTAGATCCAATCTTTGCAGCCTAGTTGAGCAGCAATGTTATTGATTTTTAGCAACACTTTACTTCAGACTACAGCTGCATAACAAATATGAGAAGGTGAAATACATTGCCAAAGTATTTGTCTAGCAGCTCCACGTAGCGATGAATGATCTCCAGGGCTAGCAGCTCATTTTCCTGGCTCTCTACTCCCAAACAGAAATACAGGCTTGCATACCTGAGGAGAATCAGACACAGATGATTAACAGTGGCATTGTGGGGACCAACACCTATTGGAGAAGTGTCAATAAACACGTGAAGCAATCTTACCGCTTATAAACAATCTTTAGGTCTTTCCACTGCATGAAGTTGCAGGAGCGGGGTTGCCGTGCCAGCACCATGGTGGTCATGTCCCTGATGATCTTCTTCTTCTCACGTTCCGACATGGACGTGAACCACTTCTGCAGACGCAGCTTCCCCTGGCGACTGAAGAGCAGCATGAAGCGCATCTAACGACACAAGAGGGCATTGTCAGAGGGGAAATCCTGGCCCGTGTCGAGGCAGCAATGATGACTCACACAAACAAACAGAAATCCACATCAAGTTAATCCCGAGAAACTTTATTAAGCAGCCGGCGCTGCGCCCACACCAACACACACAGTCACAATCAGGACTGCACAAGTGGCTGTGCTGCTGGCACGGTTCATTAGCGAGTAACTTGACTGACCAAACACGAGGGGGAAATAAAGGGCTTGACAGGGAGTAATAGTGAAGGTCACTGACAACTGAGGAAGTGGCAGTTTAAGTGAGCCAGCGAGTCCAGCTTTCGGATGTTTGGATAACGTGTTTCCGAGCACCGGTCAGGTTTGAGTACATATCAAAACAGACATTAGTCTCCTTCATCCCCACCCCCACTCTGTCGGGACCACACTGCCATGCCGTTTCCTCTCATTGTTAAAGTTAGGCTTCAAGAATAAATATTACTTTGTCTTCAGGCTTTATGGAGCATTTTTCTCCCAATCAGAAGCGAGAACATGCAAGGCTCTCTGAAATATCATCCTGATTTTAGGTTTCATTTAAAGAAAAAACAAAAACAAAAATCAGACTCGACTTTAAGAGTACCAGGTTTTTGCTTGCAAGAAAAAAAACAAAAGAGGAAAAACAGGGGGTTGTCTCAGTAGTGAGGTCTGTCAATTATTTTCTACCATTCAGGTCACCAGTGAGGCTGTAATGCCTAAACCCTGATGTGCAACAAAGAGCACACTTAAAAGCCAGTGGACACCACTGCAGTCATAAAGTAGTATGTGTAGTATGACACAATTGGCGTGTCCTGCACAACATTTATGATCCAGCCTGTTTATGTGTCATTCAAATGAGCAGCTGAGTTCAAATATCTGAGAAACCCATTAACTAAAGACGGAAAAAAAAAAACAATACACGGTTATACAATGTATAAAGAAGAAACATATTCTTCTATTATAGCCATTCAGGCCAACAAAATGAAGACATACCAGTTCTTCCACTACTAGAAATGAACAATACAGAAGGAGATAACATTATTAGACTGAGTGATAGTCAAGCATTAATCACCAGAGATACAGGAAGACTTGATTGTTTAAGTCTACACACCTGTAGGTCATTTACAGGTGTGTACACCCCTTAAGAACTCACAGGCAAATTAATATGTAAAGCATTAAACAGCCAGCAGGGCAACGCTCGACGAGAAGTCACAAAACCTGTTTTCTTACAGAATAGACCGACTGGTAGAGCACACACCTTACTTCCGAGTTTTATTAAAAGTAGGATACAGACAATAAAAACTCAAAGTGGAAACCAAGTAGACTCTCATCAGGCCTGAATCGGAAAACAAACCTGACCCAGTGTAGCAGGAAGTGCTGTTAGAGGCGCAGTTTCTAGCTTTAGCTACCTGTCAGCGACAGCAGGTGCAACAGGTGAACAGTCGGGGTATTTTTCGCCTACAGTCAAGCGCACAAAACAAACACATTCGCCAGAAACTTACCATTTTCAACACCAGACCGAGGAGCTACAAAACACCGCGAAAATATTTAAAAACGAAGTACTTTAACCCTCACAAAGGGTCAAACTGCCCGGATGGACACATATCTATCCTCCGTGAAGTGAGTACAGGGTGAAACTTGGCTAACTCCGCCCACAATGCCGCTGGGCAGTGACGCGTCATCGGTACTCACAACCATCGTGGATTGGTTATCCTGGGCTTGTATTTCCAGGGATCCGCCCAACCAGGAGCGCCCTTTAAAAAAAACAAAAAAATCTGCCACGTGACTGTGGGACCCACGTTAATGAATGAACTGATAACTGGCGTCGCTTGACTGCTGTCAGGGTGTGTGTTTAAATGTTATTCCCGGTCAGAGTCGGCAGAAAGCAGCAAGCGCGTCCCTCTCCTCCCGCCTCATGTGATTATAATCTGTCACACAGCTGCTTGAACAAGGACTGGAAAACTTGATGCACTTTGTTTGGGATTGTTCCTCATTTGAAATCATGTCTCTGTACCGAAATGCCATCTGGTTTTTGAATGGAATCCAGCAATATACAAGGTCAGTAGGATATCATTTTGGTGTTGATCTGCTGTGTGTAGGGATGCTGTCAAAAGATGCCTGGTAAATATCAATCTTTTTACTTGGTATTGTTTTGTTCTGTCTCTCTTTTTTTAAAACTAAAATTAAGATTTCTGCCCTGTGACATGCATTTCATGTTGTTTATTCAACCCTAAAAGCTGCTCCGCAGAGCCATATCAAAGGTCTGATCACTGTGTGGCACAATCATCACACAAACTGCCCTTTATGTACAGTTACAATAGTTCTATTGACAGCTCGTGTGTCTTGAGGATGACAGTCTCATCGTCTCATCATCTCAACAACAATGCAGGCTGTCAATCACAAGCCGCCTTTTGAGAAATGATCAGTCCTCGCCTTGAAGCATTACCTTTATTACATGTTTTCTGCACGCCCGTAGGAAGGGATACGAGGTGGCATCTAAAGAGTTTGATCCCCGGGACCTGGATGTGTCGGTGGTGGGGAGGTCATTTATGATTACTGGAGCCAACAGTGGAATTGGAAAAGCAACAGCCGTGGCTATAGCCAAGAAAGGTACACGCCGGAGGGTTGTGTTATCTGTCAAACATCACCACATAATGATAGCAAATAAAACCTGATGCTTTGTCTCCAGGTGGCACGGTCCACATGGTTTGTAGGAACAAAGATAAAGCAGAAGAAGCCAAAGAAGACATTGTTACTAAATCTGGGAACACGGTGAGAATATTGACTTTGAATACAGAAAGTAAAAAGCAAATAAAAAATCCCCTGATTTATGAGAAACAAAGTGATGCCTAATCTTCATATTCTAGGAAGTATACATCCATACTGTGGACATGTCCCAGTCATGCAAAGTCTGGGAGTTTGCAGAGGCCTTCAAGAAGCAGTATCCATCACTGAATGGTTTGGCATGTATCACCTTTATTCTTTATTACAATAAATAGATTTCATATCCTCTTTCCTAAGCTAACTGTGTTAATGGTTTAGACTAAGTTGTGTGATTGGACTTTTCTCTGCTTTGGCAGATAAACAATGCAGGGTGTATGGTGCACAAGAGAGAGCTGAACACTGAAGGGCTGGAGAAGAACTTTGCCACCAACACTATGGGTGAGATTTTCTTCTGATGGTCAGACTGTTGTCTTGCATAACAATTTTTCAATTTTTTAATTTCCTTTTTCAGGGGTGTATATTCTCACACAGACTCTTATACCACTTTTACAGAAGAGCCGGGATCCAAGAGTGGTATGATTACACGCATAAGTGCACACAAACAAAGTGTTCATCTGTATAGTACAGACAGCATAATGCCACTCTTGTCCACGTTGTAGTGGGTCATGGTGTTGTAAGCACACTGATGTATTTATTCCCCCTCCTGCCTATTAGATCACTGTGTCCTCAGGAGGCATGCTGGTACAGAAACTCGAGGTCGATGACTTGCAGTCGGCAAAGGGCTACTTTGATGCCGTTATGGTCTACGCACAGAACAAGGTAAGACAGGAAGGTGTGGTCCAGAGTTTTTAAAAATTAAGTTTGAATCTGCTTTACATTGCACAATACCATGTCTGACTGGTTATATAGGTCATTTAAAGTAATGGAGAAGACTGACGTAAGATGTAAAGAGGCCACATTGTGTTGTTCCTTTTCAGAGACAGCAGGTGGTGCTGACAGAACAGTGGGCCAAAGCCAATCCTGTCATTCACTTTTCTGTCATGCATCCAGGCTGGGTAGATACACCAGGTACACTCATTTGAGCAACAGTTGCAGTTTTTCTTGAACTGTATCTTAATTAGTCTTTCTCCTTTCTCAAAAACCACAAATACAATTAACAGCTAGATCTATTTTCTCCTTGTTTCCAGCCGTTTCTACATCAATGCCTCAGTTCCACCGGATGATGGAGGACAGGCTGCGTACTGTAGAACAAGGAGCCGACACAGTCGTGTGGTTGGCTTTGTCCAGGGTGGCTTCCAGAACACGCAGCGGGCAGTTCTTTCAAGGTAAACAACACGAAATGTGACGGGCTCCACCATATTTTCTGTTAACCTTCTCAGGTCAACTCAAGCATCGTCATCGTCTGGCGCCACCAGTTCTGACAGCTTACATGTGTTGCAGATCGGAAGCCTGTTCCCACCCACCTCCCTCTGGCTTGGACTCACAGTTCGGCTGAGGAGATTCAGAGTTTCATGACTCAATTGGAGAATCTATCCAAAGATTTTCAGTTGCAAGCTGACGCAGATCCCGCTGGACCTTGTAGACCACAGTTTGTCTAGTTTGTCTGCTACGTCATAACCATATGACCAGCTACTGGAAAAGGTGTCGTCGATTCTTAACAAGCCTCCTGTCTACAGCAACAGTTGCATGTTTATGAAATTGCGTTGTGTAGTGTCACAAAATATTGATTAAAGACGAAATAACTGACTCATGTCTTGTATATTTACATTACAAAAACAGATTTCTGACTCGTGCTTTATATTTGGAAATTTGCACAAATGTCAACAGTGCTTAAATCTCAGATGTGCAGTTGATGTTTGATAAAATAGGAAAAAAATGGCTTTTCTGCACCTGATTGCTCAGTCTCCTTTATGGCGCCACATTGTTACATATTTGCACAATATTACGGCAGTATAAACCCAACCTAACAGATGGAATGTGGGGGGGAAAAAAAAACCCCATTATTATCTCAAATTCAGATAACTGAACCATGACCAAGCGTGCTGGGAAGGAAACACTTTCTTCTATATAAACACCAGATGACAGCGTTGTGTCCATTGGGAGAAAAGACTGTACTTGTGTTCTTGCAGAGCAGCGAGATAAACTAGATGTTTTCATCCTCAACTGTCTGGGTGTGGATTTAAATGCTATTTCCACAAAGGGTCAGCAGAGAGCAGTAAACGCTCCCTCTCAGCCCGCTTCCTTTCATACTGATCCGTCACAGCTGGTTGACAAACACCAGTAAATTAGTGGACTTTTTGCAATTGCTTGCTTGAAAAACTCCAGCATTTCATAATCGTTATTTTGTAAGAATCCACATTTTCCTTTTTTTTTTTTCCTTTTTTTAAATAATTTTATTTTTATACAGTATTGAGCCAAAAAAATAAGTGGTGCATTCACATTTTTCCCAAGGGATTCTTTTCAAGTTTGAGCTCTACAAGGGTAAAACAGTGAAAAGCTTGAAGCTGGATCCATCCATGTTAAAACTCTCAGGGAACAGGAAGTTTGGTCAGATTTAAAAATCATCTAGAAGATTTCGATGGATTCTTTTTTCCTGTAGTAAGATTTTTATTCCCCATTTATGTTTTTACTGTATTTTTTTGGAAGGGGCGATGAGTCGGGTTCCCAGTGTCTGTCTCTAAAAGAAACTTCCAGTCCATGCGTAACAACAGTCCAAAGAAAAACAACTACCCCTCCCCCTCCCTCCAGTCCAGTCTCTTCCTCGTCTCCTTCACAGTTCATCTTCTACGCAACGTAGGTGTACACTTTACGGTCCTCTGGTGTCCTCGCCAAGTATTCTCTTTCTATAAGTCCCTCTATCCGCTTTTTGATTACCACAGGGCTCGGAAGAAAACGTGCCCGGAGCTGCTGAGTGACCTGAACAAACACACACAAAAAAAAGAAGAACAGAAAGTAACAGCATTAAAATTGTTGTTCATTATTTGAAAAATGAAAATGGATTCTGTAAAATGGACGAGTTCCTTACCTCTGCAACCAGGACATTGTGTTGCATCTTCTTCCTCGACTTCATGATTCGGACAATGGCTGCCTCAATCTCGTGCTTCCTGTCGTCATCCACTTTCTGCCGAGTCTCTTTCCTTTCAGGGTCTGATTCACCTTGTTTAGCAGCAACTGGAAAAATTGGATACAGGAACTGTATTACAGAAAGGAAGTGTCCTAACTCCACTTCAAAGAATGCTATGGTTACACAGCCACCATGTAACAGTAAGTATTTCAGAACAGAAGCCTTTACTTATGCATAGCCCTAAATAAAAAAAAAATTTTTTAAAAATTAAAAATAAAAATTAAATTATTGTGTTTTTATTTTGAGTTAAAAAGCTGTATGATATTCTACTTGTGGTACTGAATCAGTCAGTATTAGATAATATAAGTACTAATATGAAATACTATTATATTTTTAAAAAGCACAGCGGTGATGACCCATATATCCTGGAGTGTCAGCCGAGACGGACAGAAAGGGTCCTGGAAAAGACACAAGACATCAGCGAGCTCTGGTGCATTACACACAGCCTTTGCTCACCTGTCTGAATTTTGACTCTGTGCAGTCTCGAGGTAAACTGATCGTTGACTGTAAACACGTGTCCATTTTCTATCTCCTTGGACTTGGGCTCCTTAGTGAGAATTCGCTGTGTGGGTTTCCCACATGCTAAAGACTGTAATGCTCGCACCAACTCTCGCTCTGGAATATCTGTCTCCTGCTGAATCTCCTGTAGAAAAAAAAAAGAAATTGGCTTTAAGTCAAAAACTGTGACACCAATATGTACAAAAACACACATATATAAAGACATTAAGTCATATAATGGTAGAGTGCAGCCATTTAAAAAGTGTGTTCCCACCTCAAAAGTGCACTTTTCTCTGTTGTTGAAGAGCATGAGGATGGTCATCTGGAAGGTGGAGACCTGTAGTATGTGCTTGCGGGTGTTAGACCCTGTCACCTGGGCACCTCCCATACCCAACTCTGAACCATCCTCCTGCACATGGAGAAGGTTTAAAAAAAAAAAACATGTTTTGCTGCTTAACAGAAAGATTATGAAAATCCTCAATGATACTGATTTAATCACAATAAGATGCATTTTAATTTCAATACTAAAGCAGTTTTGAAATGCAGAATCTACCTTTTTAACAGCTCCATAGAAAGTTGCGTTTAGGTCAGCTCCTCCCATGTGATGTTGTAATGTGAGCTGTCTACCACTGTGCTTAGCTAGGTAAAATCTGGTAAATAAAAACAAAGGCGGTGAAAACCAATAAATTAAAAGTACACTGAGATCTTCTTTGTATTGCAAAACATATGAAGAAAGAGGATTACCGTCTGAAGACTTCAAAGGCGTGTCTGGGAGCAGGGGGGATGGTGCATTTAGGTGTTGCAGACTGTGTGGGCCAGTAGCCAGTAGTTAGGACTCTTACTGTGAGGTCCACACCACTTAAAGATGCCTGGAACACGTACATGAAAAGCAGATAACATGACTACACACCCATTACAGCTTCAATGCAGAATATCTGGTATCAGACAGAGTAAGAGAGCGAGACAGAGAGAGATGGTACTCAACAAATCCTGAATAAAGAAAAAAAAAAATCCATGGGAGAATTTGGCCCCAAAAGAGACAATCAACAGCTAAATTAATGACCCTATGAGCCAATCATGTTGTTTGACTAATGCATATACACAGTAAAGCCTCCACTGTGTAGTTTAAGGCATGTCTACTATTGTATACCAAGTAAAGATGTGGGTCAGTGTACTTATCTTTCTGAGATTACTGTATTCATGAAGTAAATTAGCATTTGATATGTTCAAATGTTCCTTTGGGGTGAGGCAGAGACGATCACATCAGCACTCTGGACTCGAGTAGAACTTTGACTTCTAATCTAAATGTGCTTTGTGACCACGAGTTAATGCTCTCTAGTCATGCTTTAAAACAGGACTTCTAAATAATAACCTAAACAATGACTTCTTCTTTTTAAATTTATTGTGAGACATGACACCAAACATCACAAAGTGTGGAGATAAGGCACTGACAGAACATATTTCAAAATAAAGTGTGTGCCTAAGTTGAACATGCAAGGATGTGCTGTGTAGCTGTATGAATGTGCAATGCGTGGGTGTATGAGGCTCTATATCTGAAATCCTGCTGTGCTATCATAGAGTTCGTCAGCTGTGCTGGGTTTTTCTGTGTGCCTTGTTTTTCTGACTGACTTACTGATGTAGTTTGTATGTGTTGCCTGAACTCATCCATAGTAGTGTTGGAGATGCTCATGTCTCTGAACATCCCTTCCAGTTTTGAGGTGAACTGACAGCCGCACTCTGTCTGTAAACAGAAAGAGATGAAGAAAATGACGTGAACCCTCTGACAAAGATTTAGACAGGTGAAGAGAGGAAGCACGAGATAAATGATATGAGAATGTACAAGTCCCGTGCATAAATTTATATACAAAACTACTACTTTTTAAATGGTTTTTACCTTGAGCTTAGAGATCATGTTCTTTTCTGAGTCGTCTGAGACACTCTTGTTACTGAGCAGCCGGCGACCCAAATGCTGCTTGTAGTACCTTTCAAAAACATCCTTCTCCTGCATAAACCGGAACAACACCATGGCCTTGTCAAGAATCGACTCCACTTCCTGTTCCGTCAACTATTTAAACAAGAAAAGGGCAGAAACAAGATAAAAAGTAGAAGTCAACTGCTAACAGAAAACTCTAAATGACTTCCAGATCTACTCAAGGTTTCTGAAGAAGCCACTCACCCCTTTGACTCCCTTCTTGAGCTTGTCATCAATAAAGAGTGAAAGGTACTCTGGAGAGCGGGAGTTGAGGTTCAGGAAATACTCAAAGTCTCCAGCTATAGTTTGTTTGAAGAGTCTGTCGTTGTTGAAGGCCTCGAGGAGGAACCGATCAAATCGTGTTTTCAGGTCTAGCAAACCCTGTTCAAACGGTGGTAACAAAGAAGTTATGTAATCCAGCACGATACAAGTCTCTCTTGGTACTTTAAGCATGATTAACCTGATATTTAAATCTTCTAATGCTACACTTTTTTCAGATACCAGAGGCATACCTGAATGTAGTCAACGGGGTTCTTGCCCTCTCCCTCTTCTGACACCAGAGCTTTGCCTTGCTCTCTCAAGTAAGAGCTCATACACTCGCACATTGTTTTCAGGCCATTTGGCACACGACTAAACAGCTTGTACATGCATGCCAGGTCTGAGAGTGAGACGTGAAGTAAAAAACAATGAGAAAGGAAATTCTTTGCTGTTTTTTAAAAAAAAAAAATTATTTCTGAATTACGTGCACAGAAAAGTCATGAATGATTTAATGCTTTTACCTTCCGTCTTGCCATTCTTAAGCATATGGACCAAGCCAGAGTTCTCCATCTCCACAATGGTCTTCATGTGTTTTGAAATTAGCTCCCTTTCCACTACTTTGACAATGGGTTCTTCTGTGGACTTGTCCAGGCAATGCATAACTCGCTCAATCTCTTCATTGATTCTGGCCTCTACCTTCTTTATGTAGACACTGGCACAGTTTTCTGCTAAGAACTTTTGGCTTTCCATCTGAAACAAGCACATATTATGTGTTGTTATAGAAATTATTTAGAATAGCAACAAAAAGATGGAGTAAAAAGTGCATAGCACAGACTCACCTGGAAGAATTCTGCTGACATATCTAAGAAAGGACCCTCAAAGTCCTCCTCGTATACAGACCTGCCATCCAGGCCTAGAATCATCAGCATCTGGCAGGCATTTCTGATAGCTCCCCTGCAATGAATTGTAGAGCATTCGAAATAAGGCCAGGAAACTAGCCCATCACTCAATTTTGTACTTGAACAAATTTTCAGTTCTGCAGTAAAGGTGTTCTAAAGACCAAGAAGTGAAGCACTATTCTTTCACACCTGTCTACAACCTCTCCCTTTCTTTCCCGTGCAATCATGTCCAGTAAGGTCTGTCGGAGGTGATCCCGAATGCAGCCGTAGCGCACCACCTGGTCTCTGAATATGATGAGGCCAAGGTTGTAGACATTTTCCACATTGTTTTGCTGAACATAGACCCTGTCCTAGAAGACATGAGAACAGAAGATGCAGTTTTCTATGAAAATATGTACTATGATAAACTATGGTATGAAAAAAGGGATGGATTTGCTGTACTGCGATTATACAAATACATAGTAGCATATGTAAATTTACAAAGTAAGAAGTGGCTTCCAATAAGGTAGGTTATCAGCCTTCAGTAGATTAAAACAAACAAAAAAAACCCCACTGTCTGGGCTAAAGAAAGAGGACAGTACAGAACTAAAGAACTCCAGGACAGCTGTGTAGTCTCTGTACTGACGGTGCCATTGTTTACCCTACTGTTTTCTAAGGAGCTTGGAAAGAAAAGCGTCTGGACTTCTTTGAGTTGCTTGAAGACGTTTCACCTCTCATACGAGAAGCTTCTTCAGTTCTAAGGTCAAATGGTGGAGAGTCCCAGATTTAAACCCAGTGGGAGTTTCCCCCCAAAGAGGGACAACGGACCCCCTGATGATTCTCTACCTAATCACATGAGCCAAGGTGTGAAAGCGGGTGTGAGTCACAATCAGCCAGGGTTTCGGGTGAGCTCATTGTGAAACCTGGCCCCACCCTATCATGTGATTTCCTGAGGTCAGATGACCCAGGATGTGAGTAGGTGTTAAGGCGTCTGGGAAGGGATCGCAAAACTGGATTATAGATGGCAGACAGTTGGTGTCGTAAACCACCGCCTCTGTTTAAAGATAGTCGCTCACAGTGGACGTAAATGACTTCTTTCACTCCTCTTTCAAACCATCTGAGGAGTGAAAGAAGCCGTTTACGTCTACTGTTAACACAAATGACCATCCCTTAAATATCACAAAATTATTTCCATGTGCAAAAACACCAAACAACAGTTACAAATGCTCTATGAAATCTTAAAGATCTTTTACAATTACTGATGTCCAGCTTCAGAACTTTTTACATGAGGAGTATGACTAAAACACAAAAGCATACCTACCATGTACATGAGGATGTCTCTGATCATGACCATGGCAGTCTGGTGGTCATTCCAGGCCTGATTCAGTGTTTGCAGAAAATTATTATTTAAGGAGTTTAGGACATCTTCCCGTACCTGAAGATATAAATAGTCAAATAAAGTCATCTCAACATCTGGTGTGGTATTATGAATAATTGTCTTCTTTTCAGATCGATTCTCATCATTGTCTAAAATACTTTGAAACTGATGAAAGTTTCTTTACCTTGTTGATGAGGTGCTCAGTGACCACCTCCCTCAGGCCTGTGTACAGCTTCTCCCCATGTTTGTGGAGCACCATTGTGTAGGCGTTCCTGTACAGCTCCTCAAAGCTCAGTCCACTGTTGTTTTTCCTCTGAATCTCCTGGATAGCATTCTTTAGAAGGTCCCAGATGTTGTTCACATATTTCTCATCCATTGTCATCTGTGAGAGACAAATATTAAATTCAGATACTTTGATTAATGCCGTTTTTGTTTACAATGAAAAAGGATTAGTCTTTCCAAAGCAGGTCTATCTGATGTATCTCATGTCTTTTGTATACTCTTGCATATGGTCAGTAACTGTTTTGTAAAAATATAAAGACATAACTTTTTTTTCTCCCTTCTGTTGGAAATTAGTGTAGGAATGTTGAAAGCCACATCTCTGAACCTGAATATTATGCCAAAAACAAGCAAGGGTGGCTTGTTTAACAGGTTACCAAACGCCCTGCTTTCTGCTTCATAAAAAAAAAAAAAAACTTTTTTCTTAATTTATGACAAACAATTAAACTCTCTAAATCAAGAAATAAGGCCACTGAGTCATACCATTTGAAAACAACTGTACCTATAAAAGAGGTAGGTAAGTAGGAAGTAGATGTGAATTCTCTCAGCAGAAATCTTAACCTGATTTCAGTGGAGAACAAGAGCCAAGCTGTTCAATCTGCTAGAAATGTTTTCTCAATTTTTTTCCTTCTATAAATACCGTTTTTTCTGACAGTTGCATATTACTGGGACTGTAAATGGCGTGGTAAAACTTTTATCTCTTAAGGGAGTCTATTATGCATTTTGAAAAGGTGTTTAGGACCATCATCCATATCTTGATTGTGTGTTCATTAAACAATGGACCATTTCATTTTTTTCTCTTTTTTGGCCAAATATACCTCGCTAGCTACTGACAAAATCATTCTTATTTTTGCTTCATCATCTGTTTTGGGTTTTTCTTTTTCTAAACTGTCCTAAATGTATCAGGCTTGATCAGATGCTTATATGCAAACGTCTAAGTGTGAATTTGTGGTAGGGGTGGCTGTGATGGGTTGGCCAACATCAACACCATAACCTGTTCAAGTTATTTTGACCATGTTTACTTTAGCACCTTGTTGGGATGAAGTTGCGCTAGCTCTCCAGCTAACTCTGCATGACAATGTGTGTTGATATCCTCCGCGGGCGGAAGCAAAAGCATAGCGTGAATAAATAGCAACAAACAACCCTGCTTATCGTTACCATAGCGCACTGATACCTGCAGACTGACTTAGCAAATGTCAAGACAGCTAACACGGCCAGGCCCGCTACTTAGCTAGCAATCTTCTCACTGAAGTTTCAATTAATGCTAACATAAGCTCATGACAAATGACGGTGACATTTACAAACCAATAAGCCAGCTAGCATTAATTAAACTGCACGATAATACGCCCAAGGTAACTGCTGAGATTGAAGCAGTTTTCGCTTGAGTGACATTTTTTTTCTTCGATTGAGCAACTAGTTAGCAGGCAATTACTAGCATAAAGACCTGTCATCCCCTGACTCGTCTCATAGTTTCGGCTCATTTTACAAAGCTCATACAGTTTTCAGTACTCACAGGAAAGGCTCGTATCCTCATCTTGGTGTCCTTCTTGGGGCCGCTTTTTAGGTTGGACATGATTAGTTGCAACGACTATCCTTTCTAAGTTGACTTAAAGACTACATGAAAGGCAGCTGCTAATTTGCTTTCAGCGCCCGGAAAGCGACAGAGAAACTCGGTGACCTCCCCTGTGGGAATTAGGTCGCCCTGTGTGTCTGTTGTGTTGTTGTCAGTCGTTCTCCTCAGTGGTTTTGGCTAGTGTTAGCTTGTATGCAGTGATGGCGGACGGCTGTTCTCCACTGCGCAATCCGAAATCTCGCGAGAGGAGAAAAGTCACTAACAGGTGCATTCCACAGGTTGGAAGTTAGCGGTTCTTTTTTTTTTTTTTTTTGAATAAGCTTTATTGACAAAGCACAAAATATAGATCCAAATTACAAAAACACAGTGTCCGGGGTTTGGTAAAAACTAAAACAGAGCAGTCTAGTAAAGAATCACATAACATTGAACAGGGAACATAGGTTTATGGTTTTGACAGCGTTTACATTTTGGGAATGTTGTATGGTTCTAACATATTGTTTGGTTTCATTTAAAAAGCACTGAAAGGATGGTTTTGCGTTAGAAATTTTCAATTTATGTATATGAAATTTAGCCAGTAATATCAGTAAATTAATAAATTAAAATTTGCCCTGTCCGTGGGGTACTTAAAGAAACCAAACAGTATTTTCTCATAACAAAGAGAGAACTCAGAAAAGATAAAAGAAACAACAAAAACACAAGCATAAGTTAGACGAGATAATCCCTACGCTTTCATGAGTAAAACTCTCCCTTTACTGGATAAATCCCACTGCAGCTAAGCATTTAGCTTGTGTTTTATCCAAAATTGGAGTGAAATTATGGGAGAACCTGGTGGATTGATTTTTATTAATGATGATACCAAGGTAAGTGACAGACTCTTTCACTGGGATGCCAGCAACAGATAGACTGGTACAATTTCTAAGGGCAAGCAGTTCACATTTGCCAATGTTTAAGTGGAGTCCTGAAGCTAAAGTAAAGGCATTAATTGTGTTAATAGCTATCTGCACCTGTGAAGCATGTTTTAAAAAGAGAGTTTGTTTTGCTGCAGATGAGCCATACTCTCTTAAATATGAGGCGGCTTCAAATTCGAAGAGTTCCAAATTTTGACAGAGATGACTGATTAGGGCTTTATCCCAGAAACGTTTCATTAATGACAAAATATCTTCAATCACTTTTTCATGTTTTAGAAGGGAATTATTAAGTTTCTAGTAGCAGCTCCTACAAGTTTGGGCAGCATTAGGATTGAGAAAGACTTGAAGTGATACTGCTTTGTGGTCCGTGAGTGGAGTTGGCATTATATTGACTATAACATTATTTCTAAGTAATCAGAGACTAACCAGAAGTCAATACGGGATTTAGAAGAGTTGGATTTGTTACTCCATGTAAATAGTCTGGCTTTAGGGTTTTTAAATTCTCCAAATGTCTATTAAATGAAATTTTTTGCATAAATGTATTTAAACAACAGGACAGAGTTATTTGAGCTAGGTGGCCATCTGTCTAGTGAAGGATCTGGAGGAATGTTAACATCGCCGAGTTAGATGTCGAGTACTTTTCTGGAGATGTCTTCTTGCTTTTGCTCAGGGACACCTGAGAGCCTGAGGTTCCATCTCCGATGGTATCTTTCATCTTCGTTGACTTTCAGTTCTACTTGAGACAATCTGCTGCTGTTTTTCTTACAAGTAGCTTTAACTGTTTTGGTGACATTCTTCAAAGATTCTACTTCCAAGAACATGAAGCCAATAGACTTCTTCATGGCCTCGATGTTAACAGGCTCGCTAGCTTCAATCTAAATACAATATAGCATGTCCTGACTGCGGGGTTTTGGAAACAAATTAAAACGTACAGCTCTGCTATCACTTCCAGCATGAATGAAGACAGAGAACTAAACAGCAGTGACGTTTGTAGGGTTACTGAAGTTGGGCTAGCTGGTATATAATGATGTGCTAAGTGACCGCTAGCGACACAGCTATGTTAGCATAATATAAACAAGCTAACTTTTTTCCCACTCGATAAAAGTTAACGTGAGTGTTCTCGGTGGTCAGGAACAAATGTAATCGCATGGCAGGAAGCTGTAAAAGGACCAAACTTCAGCCAGGAGAACAACTGAGATAATCCATCCACAATACGAGGTTAGTCATTCATATACTGCTGCATGGGCTGGGCTGTAGTTACATCCTAAGGTTTTAAAAACTGAGCTTAAATAAATGATTACCGGTAATAAAAGCCGAGGGAGGTCAACGGTGATCACTGACTGTTTTAGGAGCTTTTTGAGATCAAATAGAAGAAAACACATAACATTAAACATGTTAACAACACTAAAGCCATATTAAACGCAGACTACTTTAGACCCGGAAGTAGGATTCGTCGCGTCATCACTGAACAACCGGATTCTTGCTGACCATAGCCTCCAGATTATCCAGAGCGCTCATTAATTAAAGTAGCAATGTTGTTTTGCACATCAGCAAGAGTTATATCACCTTTGTGTTTTTTACCATCGGGTCTGGCTGGAATATCGGGGTCTGAAACCAGCAGTGGCATCAGTTCAGGACTTTTGCTGCAGTTGTAGTCATGTTCGGCAGCCACGGCATTCTTGGGAGTGGTTTTTGAGCCAGCTACACATGTATTTCTTTCCATTTCCTTGGTTGCTCATTTCGTTAGACTTTTACTTTTCATAGGTGTTTCTTTTTCCTTCCTTTTACTACCCTGAGTTGTTGGAAATATCTGAGCTATCGCTTTGCAAGGAAGCTAGGGTCACGAAAAAGTTATTTGAAGTATGGTTCAGGAAACCGTTACTTAGAAGTACAGCATACGTGTACTGAAGGAACAGTCAGTAGGATAACTCACTTGTAATTCAGAGTAAAAACTCAGGCTGAAAGGGAAGTGAAACTGCAAAATCCTGCTAAGCCGCGGAGAACAGCGTCTACCTCGGTCGCCATCTTGGCTCCGTTAGCGATTCATGTCTTACATACCTTGATGGTTACATCGGCAATAATAATTAGACAATAAATAAGTGAAGTATTAAGTAAAGTATTTTATCAACCGTTTCATCTTAAAGTAAAACACAAGAAAGAACAATGTATAGAAAAAATATTCAATTACCTTTTGAATCCTTTATAGTACCCTCAACTTTATCACTTTATTCATCTCTCACTGCCATTTGTAAACGAGGACATAGGTTGCTAGGAGATAGATATTGGAATTTTGTGAAATATATTGTAGTTTGACTCATGGGGGGGGGGGGCTTACTGGGCTTAAGCCCGGGTCAGACTGTAATTTGTTTCATAGTTAGATGCCTGGCTGACAACTGTATAAAACAAAAACTGCACACAGTATTCGAAGCACATAGCGCACAGTCGTAAATTCCCCCTAATTTTGGTATGATCCGAGCTCGGACACTAGCCGACTGAGCACAGCATTTAGGCAGGTGAGGGGAAGAAGCTGCTGCGTGCGAATTTGCTATAGGAGAAGTGCAGACAGAGGAGAGCTTAAGTTTGACCAGGTACCAAAGCAAATCATTCGTACTGTACAAATAATGTAAATATGACGGTGTATCACAAAATATTGATATCAAACTGATCACTTGACCCATATTACGTTACTTGCTCTTTGAGTGAATCAACAAATGGCGAAATGAAAAGCTGAACAACAATGCTGTTTTGTTTTTTTTTAGAGAGTCTTTACGTGTGTTTATTTCATATTTTCAGTTGTTACCCTCCACGGCTAAATAAAGCACTCTAAATCGGTTTCAGTAAATGTACTGATTTACACAACAATGGGCATAAAGGGCTTCTTTCAAAGTAAAATCTCAGGTAAATGTCATTTTATATATTATTCTTTGTATGTTGTTTAATATATTTCTTTGCAAACAAGAGGAATTTCAATAGACTTCAGTATATTTACAGTTGAAACCAGACATTTACACACACCTTTGGGGAAATAAACATAAAGCATTTTTTTTTTACTGTTGAACATCAAGTAAACTTTTTTGTTTTAGATAAATAAATATTGAAATATCTTTTAAATTAATTAAACGTCAGAATAAAGAGAGAGAGAGCTGTCTATTTTTTTTTACCACTTTCATCAAATTTAGGAGTATATATACACTAAGTTTATTGTGTCTTTAAAAAATAAGAAAACTCCAGATGATTCCATTCTGAGCTTAAGAAGCTTCTGATAGGTTAGCAGAGTCCATGAAAAATAAACATTTAGTCTGATTTGATGTTTTACAATTTAAAAAGTGATTGTGTTTATATCTGAAGAGTTTGTAAATATCTGGTTTCAACTGTGTATTTGATGATGGTGGTGTTTGTCTTGATTGTCAGCACAGAGAGGGAGATGGAGAGGAGAATGAGGACAGAAGAGAAATGGAACAAGAGCCAGGTGAGACAGACATGTTAGTCAAATGGTTGTTTGCCAAAATTCATTAGAACATGTATCTAGTACCTAGTGTATCTTTTTGGAATACTTGAATAATATTGACCCTGAAAGTGTCATTGATAGGTTCGTTCAGTGCTGCTATCATCTAGTTTTGATTCTGGTTCTGTCTTGGTTAAGTCCTGAAGTAGTCCTGATTTTGAACTGTTGTAGTCCTGTTTTAATTCCAGGTCAGTTCTGGATCTTGAATTGGGGTTTAGCAACTCCACAGCAACTCCACCCCCCAGCCTCGCACCCCCCTTCCAATCCCACATGCATACCACCCTTTAGGGCTAAACTCTGGGTGTATAAAATGTCTGGCTCCGCCTCTGGTTTGACTATGCTCAGTGTCAGCGTTGCTTCTTTCCGGTCCCTCCCTCACTCTTTGAGATGCCCATGGTCAAATATCGATGATTGACCCGCAGCTGGAAGACTGAATATCGCCTCACTGTCATGACGACACTTTCTGAAAGAGAAAATGAAATTCAACAACACAGAGATAAGAGCACTACGGAAGAGGATTAGGGCCACTGGGGGAAAAGGCGGTAACATCTTTTTTTCTTCCAGAATTCTGAGAAAAAAAAGTCAGAATGCTTACTTTTTCCCCAGAATTCTGGAAAAGAAAAAAAAGACATTACTGCTCTTTTCCCCAGTGGCCCTAATCCTCTTCTGTAGAGCACTGTTTCAATGTCTGAGGAAATAAATAAATAAACCTATTCACCTCTATAGTGCTGTGAAGAAGTATTATTCCCCTTTCTAATTTTCTGTCATCAAATAAAGTTAGACAAAGGTAACCTGTGTAATTTTCAAAGAATGCAAATTTTCAA